AGTTTGTTTGTACCCTTATCTTCTATTTAGATAAAATATTCTCAAATAACCTACAACCTAAATCATATTTTATTTTCCAATACACTTAATTAGATGATTATTTGAAATATATATATATATATATATATATATATATATAATTAAATAAATTAACTGCACTATTTCTCATAAAACTCCCTTAATTAATTAATACTTTTTATTAAGTATTTTTTTAAAAAACTTAGAGTGTTATGCATGATAATTAATCTGGTCAAACCTTGGGTCTCTTATGTTATTTGTTGGGTAACTATATGCTTTTAAACCTATTGATAAGCCTCAAAGGTTATACTCAATAACATAAGAGAAACTTATCTCACAAGCAAATGGCTCCATTATTTCCTAAAATGTAACTTTTGCACAAAAGTCAACAATGTTGGATTTATATGTTGGATCTTTATACTAACATGGCCTAATTCAAACTAAAGTCCAACAACCAATATAGGCTTAATTAAAAAAGAAGTTACAATTACAAATCCTAATATAATATTTGGATTATATGAAGTCATTTTACAAGCATAATATGTTCTTGTTAAGTCAAAAAATGACCTTAAGTTCCTCAAGTTTTAGAGTTTTAATATTAACAAACAAAATATTTTTATAAGAGAAAATATTTTCAAAAACATCTTTGAAAATATCTTTGAAAATGTTTATCAGACGAAGTGTAAGACACAATTATTTATAGAATGATATAAATTAAATGAAATATATAATTTGTCTCTTATACATTAAATGATTATATTTTTTTGAGACTAATGACAAAGCCTGTATTGAATGTTTCATTGCTTAACAAATTGAATCATAAAACCATCTTGAAATTCACAAATCTATTAAAGAGAAAAATCATGCTTTCTATTAGAACAAAGATCCATGAAATCACAGAGAAAAATAGATAAAGTCACCACTACAACTACTATATGTTGAAATTGTTTTTGCAAGTTTTGTTTGGTATGAAAAGTTGATAAATAGCCTCATTGATCAAATAAAAGGTATCATTTGGTGAAATGCATTTAATGTTCGTATTAAATGAGTTAAAAATCACCTTCCACCACAAGGAAAAATAATAAAGACAGATGAAATAAATTTGTGAGCTAGACTCAAAGTGTTACAATTAATAGTATCTTCTTCAAGCTACTATATAAGAAGATTTAAAGCTTAAGAAAAAAGATATATACATACAAATACAGACAAGAGACATATTCAAAAGAGACACACTCTATAAATTATACGTGTGTATATACTTCATTCTTTCTTTTACAAAACTTATTACACCATATTGGTTATATAACGTCTAAGTGAGACAAACACAACATTTGTGTAACCTTCATAATCATTGTTATAAGGTCGAGTCTGAAGATACTTGTTTGTAAAAGAATACTTGTTTTGAGCATAAAGATGTTTGACTGTAATAAAATACTTCTTTTGAGTTTAAAGATGCTTGACCATAAAAGAATATTTGGGTATTAAGCCTAAAGAGATTTGTTGTTAAAAGAATACTTGGGTACTTACTTGAAGAGGCAAATCAAAGAATACTTAAGGTTGAGACAGAAATGACTTGCTATATCTTTGTTTAAAGATAGTGGAACACAATATGATTGAATTAAGAACTGGACGTAGTCTCGGTGGTTAAGACGAATTAGTATAAAAATACCTAATGTTTCATCTGATTGCTCTTCGCATTTCATTTGACTAACATTATTACTTCACTATGAAAAAAATGTGAATTTTTTATACACATTATTCAACCCCATTTCTAGTATTTATCTTTTCTCCACATGTCTTCATGCCCTTTATAAGGGTGAAGTTTCTCTTTTCTTACTCTAGTTATTTGTCCTTTTATCTTAAGCCATCTCTGCTCTCCTATTTATAATAATGTCTCCAAGAGTGGATTTCCATCATTTTCTCCTCATTCCTCGATAAGACACCTTTTCATGATGGTTCTTTTTACTCACATTTGCCACCATTATCCCTTATGACTCATCGAAACCTCTCTCTATAGCAAAAGAATGATGAAAAATTGAACGTGGCAAGAAGGGACTTCTTATAGAGAGATGTTGTGATCCATCAATAGAAGATAGTTAATGTCATTTTTATCTATAATGATTATTATTTTAATTTTTTTTTTATTGATATTAGTGTTAGCAACATACTCCTTCTTATCGATTAAAATTATTTATTGATTATAAAATTAAGATAGATTAATTAAATAGGGTATGAGACCCATATAATTTTTTTTATTTCAAATATGTTCTAACCAATTAGAAGAAATACATTAAAAAAAATATTTTAGAGAATATGTTGCTAGTATTTCTTAAAAAAAAAAGTTTGTTGCTAGTAAATATTAATTCATTAATGATATATTTTTTATAAGATTTTTTAAAATAATTTTATAATAAAATGTTAGAAGAAGAAAATTTAATATTTTTTATTGGGTGTAGGTGATAAACGTGCGCTTACTTAAAGACAAATAAACCTCAATTCAAAGAAATCATATCTTCTACCAAGACATTCATTGGGGAAGCAGAAGACCTTTTGAAGGAAGCTATTCAGGAACATATGGAACTCTTTTTACTCCAGGAACAAGTAGAAAAAAATTGATTAATCATTTAATAACTTTAGAATTTAACTTTCCCATTTTTATAATTAGTATATTTTAATATTGTTTTATTTCATTTGAGTATAATTAAGAAAATGAATTCGAATATAAATAGAATAAAAAAAATAGAAGAAAGAAAAATATCTATCCATCTATTTATATAGATAGATGGATTGTTTACTTTGTTTGAATGTGAGAATAAAAATATACGATGAAAAAATAATAAAAATAATGAGTAAATTATTAATTAATTTGATTTGATTATTAAAATAAAAGAAAGGAACGTAGAAAATAATTAAAAATTGAATTCTCTTTTGGATAGAAAAGTGATAGAAAAAAAGTGATATAATAATTTTTTTTATCCTTCATACTTTTAAAATAAGCCAAATAATTTTATAATAAAATGAAACTTTCTTAAGAAATGAGAAAGTCCATCAAGGATAATTAATACATGTATGATAGTTCATATTGAAATGAATATATCCATGTAAAATTATGAACAATAGACAATCATGTCTTGTTGTTTATTAGTGAATTGATCTATTATTGAATCCCTTAGTAATAACATTTTATGATAATGTTAGGACATAATTGCATATCACATATTTCAATTGTCTCTAACCTCTCGATTTTGACCGAAGACTTATGAAGTCATATGATGCACACCATTCAGAACTACCAACAAGTGCATCTTCTCATCCTCTATAGACTGTGAAGACAAGATAACAATTCCTTTTTTATCTTTTAAAATAAAAATTAAGCATAAAAAGATAAAAGTCCTTGTGATTTTTCAAATAAAAGAGTGAGAGTCTTCAATTAAAAATAGAGAATTAGGAGGAAAAGAATAATAAGATATGAAATATCCTAAAAAGTATTTGTACAAAATTAAAATTGCACAAAAATATATACCAAGGAGACTAGAAATTTCAATTTTTCATATTTTGCTACTCAACATTCAAAATTTTTCATGTTTTGTCACTTGATTAATTGAACACTAATGTGATACATTAACAACTATTATGATATGTTGAATGTTGACATAAACTAATGTTGTGACATGCAAACAATGATATGACTATTGACACTATTACTATCACTGTAACAATATTGGTAGTGATTATGGTAAAGATGACTATTTTCAAATTGAATGATAGTATGTTTTTTAAAATTAAAAAATAATTTATAAAAAAATATTGGTTTTGAAAATAAATATAAAAATAATTAAAAATTAAATTAAAAATCATTTTAATCAAATATATTTTATTTTGAAAATCAAATACCGATAAACACCTCAAATGACCCTATACTGGTGATATAACATTAACATGTAATGTTATAATTAAATATTCAAATATCACATTTAATGTTTGCAATGAAAAAAAATATATACTAAAAATAATATAATATTAATGTATAATGTTTATTTACTAATAAAATATTATATTAAAATTTCTAAACATTGAACAAAAACATTAAATATCATATAAAAATGGAAGAATATTAATTGTTAATTTTGAATGAATAACTAATGTTGAATATTTAATTATTATATTTTATGTTGATTGAATATTGAAAAAAATAAATATCATTTATTTTGATAGCAACATCATAATTTTTTTTTATTCTTAAAAATACTAGTACTATTAATTTTGTATCAAGATAAGTTAAAATTAGTTTGGTTTTTAAGTTTCTTTCTCTCAACGGCGCCTCTCATAAAACCACTTTAGTTTCACAGTTGGCAAACAATATACGTTTACAAAACTCACATCCCCATGCATGAATCAAACCATTGCTAATACCTCAGCAATTTTCGCATCACCCGCCGATGATCTTCATTTGTAACTGAATATCAAGTTTTGCACAGTTGTAACTCAGAAACACATGGACAGTGCTATATGATTTGGCTATATTCTCTTCTAGATGAGGACAAGATCAAATTTGCTTACTTTGTAATGCAACTCAAAGTGGGGTGCATGTTAACTTTATGAAACCAAAACGCTCCTTTAAATTATTTTGTTTCACTAGCAATTAATTTTTTCCATTTTGAACCCTTATTCTAAATTGTGTTTGAGTCTTGGCTAAGTTTCATTGATTTCATTTGCACCTTAGATTGCAATCCCAATGCCACAATCATTCATCCACTTGTCACCTTCTTCACCATGTTGTGTCACTCTTCTCCTTCACCTGTTGTTTCACTTTGTCTTTCTTTTTCTTCTTCTTCTTCACATCCGTTTCTTTTTTACGTGTTCGTCATGCCTTATTTGCATTTGTGCTTGCTTGACTGGCATTGGCGTTGTACTTTTATCCTTTTTTTTATAAAAGCCCTATACACTTACTCGCACCTCATTCATTACTTAAGTCTCAGCACCAAAATCTTTAGCATTCTAGCTTGTATCTGGCCATAATGGAAAACTTTTATGATCAATTTTTGACATCAAACACTAGCCTATCAACCACTGCCACCAACTTTGCCTCATCCTCATCAAACCCAAGCCTTACACCACCAAACATGGGTCATCCTCAAAATGTTAACTTGGTTGGTAACAATGACCAATTTGCCTATCTTGACCCTTATTCTGGTCCATATGATCAAAACCAACAGTTTCAACATGTGCAATCACTTGCCCAAGTGAATCATCCTCCTTTGTATCCTTTTCAGATGGGGCAAAGTGATGTAGCAACTACCATGTCAAATCTTGTACCTCGAGGTAGGTCACAGTTGAGTGAAGAGGAGAGGGTTAGGAGTAGGCTTGCTAGGGAGAGAAGGAGGCAAGCAAGGCAAAGGAGTAGAAGTGTTGCTCCTATGGCCCCAGTTGAAGGGACAATAAGGGAAAGACCTCACAATGTCAACCAAGGCAGAAATGCCAATATTTTTGTTACTCCAGATGGGATGGTAATTGGTTTTCTTTTAAATAATACTTTCCTACGTGCATTAAGGCTTGTTTATCGATTTCAAAATCACTTTGTTACATATATATATATATATACATATATATGTATTATATATATCTATATTTTACAATTTCTTACTATTCTAAACATATTTGAAAGTGTTTGTCACTAGTTTACATTTCTATTTTTTAAAAATTTGCCCCTTAAAAAACTTAACGATGAACTTGAAAATAAAGAAGATATGTTTCTATTTTTTAATTTTAAATTTAATAAATTTTGAACAAAATTGATTACTGAACAACGTAGATTTGTTTCAAAAATGGATTTTAAATAAAAAAAATGTGAGAATATGCCTATTTGATGGGTTTCTCTTTTGGGTATTCTAATAGTTTTGTAATTATTGTCATTATTTGAATGTAGGTGCTACTAGAGATACTCACCAAGGTGCTAAAGAATAGTGATGTTGGCCCCTTAGGTCGCATTGTGCTCCCAAAAGTAAGGTTTTTATTTTTCAATTGTTTGATTTTTTTGTCTCTTCACATTCCATCTAGAAAAGATGAAATATTGAAGTAAATGAGCCTAATTGATTGTTCATATTGATCACTAAAATGTTATTTGTGATCTAGACTACTCAATAAATATATATTTTCTTAAAAAAAGAAAAGAAATAATGGTTCTCTTTTTAGTCAAAAACATATTTGTATCACTATTTTGTAAAAAGGCCAACATTTATTGTAATGGAAATTTTCAATTTTCAATATGAATAATTTTAAATCCTTTCATAAGATTTTCTATTAGTTATTTTACTTTTTTGTACTATAAGTATTAAATATTATATATATATATATATATATATATATATTTAAGACATTAAATATATTTTCATTTAATACATATTTTTGTTTTTAAATTATCAATGAGATTTGTAGGAGAATATAATGTTATTATTTGATTGTATGATGAATCAAAATTATATTTAATGTTGCCAAGAGATTATATACATATGTAAATATGTATGTATCCATTTTACCCATAACCAAGATAATAATACATATATGTTAAATAGAGAGAGGCTGAGATGTATCTTCCAGAACTACGGGACAGGGAAGGAATTGATGTCGTGCTTAAGGATGTGTATGCTGAGCTGAGATGGACTGTGAAATACAAGTAAAATAATTCTTTGTAAATTATACATGCTTTTATATTGGGTATTTTTTTTCTTCTTGTTTTCAAGATACTAAGTGAGTGTTAATTTGCATAGGTATTGGGTTAATGACCAAAGTAGAATGTATGTGCTTGAAAATACAGGTATAATCTCCATTTTTATTTATTGTCAACTAAAACTATAAATGTAGTTATCTTGATTTTGACATAGTAAATAAGTAGTTTTTTTTATTCAATGTAACAGGAGATTTTGTGAACCATTATGAATTACAAAGGGATGACTCCATAACCCTTTATGAAGATGAATCTAAAAATCTGGTTAGTTTTGCCTACTTAATATATAATTTAGTGAACATTTATTGTATACTAAATATAATTGGGGATGGAGGGTTCACACAATATTTATGTTTTTTCATGATCACAATTATATTTGAGATGCATAAAACACTATATTATATTCACTCTCCTTAATATTCTCATATATGTCATTAAATAAATTATTTTTAAATCATTCATATTTTGCACACAATTCACATAATATGTGCATTCATCTTTTTCTTTACGACTTTAGCTAATGGCTTAAACTTTTAAATTTCATGGCTTATTTCCTTTATAACTCATGGAAATATATGTGCCCAAATATTCTAATATAAGTGGATCTAGGTTTTTTCGAGGATCACATGATCTCAAAGAAACACGGGTTATTTAATTCTAAATTTCTTCCTTCTCTTAACCAAAATTTCAAACCTCTTTCTAACAAATAAAAGAAAAAAACATTCATGTCAATATCTATACTAGTGTGTGTGCTTTAGTGTCTAGTTTTATTTACTATATAACTTTATGTAATTTTCACCGTGATATATTTGTCTCCTGTACACCATTTTTATATGAGGAAACAGTATGTGTTGATAAAAAAAGAGGACAATCAAGAAACATCTCAACACCCAACAAACATGCAAAGGCTGCTCACACTCAGTGCTTACAACAATGGCCTCATTCAAGCATCTCATATGCACCAAGCTCAAGGTGAAGAAGAAAATGCTTCTAATAGCCTTTTGCACCAGTCCAATGCTGGAGCACATTTCGATGGTAACATAATGCAACCTCAATTACCGATCATTGCTGATGATGATGTAATGCAACATGAGTTCAATGTTGGTGATAATTTAGTGCAAGGTGAGTTATTGGACAACTTTATAGAAGAGGCACCAACTCAAGAGATGGGAGAAGTCATAATGGCCCCTATGGCTAACCAGATAAACGGTGATCAACAAACCAACTTGGATGATGTCTATGCGAACCTTGACAACATCTTAGAAATTGAGAGAAATTATCGTGGTTTTCACTTTTGATCACTTGGATTACTATAGGGGCCTTGGTCATCTTGTCAAGGTAATATTTTAAGAGTGATGTGAGATATCTTATGGTATGGAAACATGGTTCAAGACTTCAAGCTGTGGAATTGTTGGTATTGTTGTGAGCTTGCTGGGTGGTTTGCATTAAGTATTATTCTAGAGAAGCTAAGTGTAGTTGTTTGGATTCTTGTTTGTTGCTTTTTGTTGTTCCAATAACCTTATCTTAGGATAGTAGACAAGGCTCAAGCTGAATGTTGCATGTTGAATTTTCCTTTCTAAGGACTTGGTGGAGCTTCCTATCCAAAGATGAGTTCATGCATAGTAGTTTGTTTCAGGTTAAAAAAAGTTTGATGTTTTCTTTTGATCAGAAAAAAAAAGGTTTGATGTTAGATTTGTATTCTTTTCTGTTTTTTTTTTTCATTGAAAAAGATGTTACATATATCTTGTGACATGAACCTGTATTCGTGCATGTGATTTCTAGTTATTTTTAAGAATTTGTGTTCTGTAATTTTTATGTAGTATTTCATTAGTGTTATTATTAAGTTTATTTTCCTACATCTTTATCAATATTATTTTGTTATATTAATTAGACTATCTTTTCAATTAATACCACTTTCTTAAAATAAATAAATTATAATTTTTTAATGCTAATTAAGTTAATTATTATTATTCTTAATTTAAGTTTTACTTAACATAAAACTACCACGCTTAATGCCTTTTTTACACTTTGATCATTTTTTGGATTCCTTTTTATATACTTTCTATACTTAGTTCTATATCATTCTTGAATCTTATTTTTTTTTTCTATTCTAGTTAATTATTTTGACATTGTTTTTGTTACGCTTTTGACATGATTTTTAATATTGTATTGGAATATCTACCATTCTATCTTCAACAATTACATTCTTAAAAAGAGTGACTTATATTATGTCTTTAACATGGACCTTTATTTTTTATAAGGGAGGATATTATGATTTGATTATTTTACTGCTTAATGCTTTTTAAGGTGTTGGTTTTTTCCCTAAATAACTAGTATATTTTTCTTTTTAAATGGAATTTAAATTATTTCTTTCATCATAATTTAAAAACCTATCAAAGAATTACTTGTTAACTAAGTGAGTTATGTTATAATGGTCATACTATGTACATATTTGCAACTTAGAGAAAACCTAGCCACATAATATGTATTTCACATGATTGAAATGGTGTTTAGCTACATTAAACCATCATTTGACAACAAGTCAATGTTAAACATATATTAAACTCCCCATTTTGGTGTAAGGTCTTGACAAAACCTATGCTTATTTCGACTTATAACAAGAAATTAACCTTTAAATCTGTGACACACATGTAACCATATATTACACATGCAAGAAATGGAAGCTACCAGAATATAAGGATAATAATACATGTTTGATGTTTCAATTATGCTACACAAACATCAAAATAAATGACCAACATTGTATTGGGAAGCTTTTGAATCCACCATCATTTTCACCTTACTCCTCTTTAGAACACATACATTATTTTTAAATATATTGATATTTGATGTTAGTTTCACTTTTGAATCCTGCAAAGATTTAAAGGGTTAACTAGTTTTTATTTTTAATTTGATGCACATTTTATCGACAAAACACAGTTAAATTTGATAAATAAAAAAGTTGAGCATATATTATATATATTATAAATTAAAGCTTATTAACCCGTCTAATTGTGTAATTTTATTTTAAAATAATATTTTATTTTACAATCATGACTATATTAAAAGAATATGAAGTCTCTATGCAAAAAGCTAAAGTTCCCATACCATATTATAATTACATAAAGTGTACGTTGACCATAAAATTGGTTATAAGACAAATGAAATTGCTAACATATATTCTTTTTATTCATCAAATTCAAGAAATATTATCATAATTACAAATTTGACTTCATATTAACATCAATAATTTCTTTTGTCCTATGGTGTAGAAGTTGTTGCATGTCAATTTAAAATAAGTGACTTTCAAAACAATTTTACTCCCTTAGTTGTCCACCTTATTTTATGTATATAAGGATTTCCTGCTCCAATACGTAAACCACACATATATTTAGCTTTTTCCTTAGAGTTAAATTTGCAAAGATTTTTATTTATAATGCAAAGTTGAACTTTATTTACAATGTATTAAATGAGGTTTCATAAAAATATCTTTTTATGTTGTTTAAAAACATTATGCAAAATATATTTTTGTTAATTCAACCACTAAATTATAATTAATTATTTTTATTATCACTATGTAAATATTACAAATTAAATAAAAATACTTATATTTTTTTATATATTTTAAAAATATATTGTCATATCAACATAACATTAAATAATTTTAATTTATCAATATACATAATTTTTAAAATAACTTTTTTTAATAAAATGTTACATTTTTTTTCTAAAGTACATTAGATTTTTGTCTATATTGATATTTTTCATTTTTAATTTTGTTATTGTCTTGTAAAATTTCTTTATTTTATTTTATTTAAGATAAATATTAGAAACACTCTCTTTGATGCATTTTTTTTAAATATATTATCTTTTATTGATTAAAATTTATTAGAATTTGAAATTTTTAGTGGGTGTCATACCTTAATTTAGGGATAAACAACTTGATTTAGATCGGATTTGTGTTATTCCTTTATCTAATTTAATTAAATTTAATAAAATTTGTTTGAATCATTCTTTTTTTGTAATTTAAACTGAATCAATTTAACTATGATTAGGTTGATTTTGATTGGATTATGAAATTTATCATTTATAATTTTTTTACAATTAGTTAATTAAAATATTAAATATTAAATCAATATTATATTCCTTATCATGCAACATCAGTACCTGTGGCAGGCTAACTCAAATAAGTTTTGAAATGCGTTTAAAAAAAATACACTACAAGAACTATTTTTCATGATATACTTATTTTATTTATTATGTTTAATGTTTATTTTTTATTAAATAATTTAATAACTTTTATGAATTGAATAACTTGTTAAATAAAATATCTATATGAATGCATTTAATTTAGTAGATTGTGATGTTTAATTAATTAATTTATTTTTAAATAACATTAATAATTTAATAACTTGATAAATAAAATACAAGGTGAAAATATTAAACAAATTAAAATATTCATATATAATACATATATGTTGGATACAAAATAATACAACTAAAATAAAAATCCATTGAAACATCATGTAGGAGTCCTTCTCTTCCTTTAGTATATACAACTCATTATGGTGCCTTTGTCTTCCTCTTTTTATATAAGCTTTATTAGCTTTAGAACATTACGTATGTGTGAAACTTGGTTTATGTGATACTTTTTACCCTACATACTCATATTTATAATTAAAAACAAAAAGTTTGAATAAAAATTTAATTACAAGATAAAAAAAAGTTCATAATACGCTTCCATTGGTAGAGAACTCTCTTTTGCTTCATAACACTAAATCAACTTTTTAAGTTAAAATTTTTTGGAAAAAATAACATGAATAAATAATAACTAAAAAATTTAAGAAGCATCAAAGACCATACAAAACTCCAAAAGAACTAACAAAAGATTCTTACTTAGCATAGATGAGTTCTAACATAAATGTCCAAAAAGAAACATAAAACATGAACGATAAATTTCAAATCCCTCGATGTCACATATTATATCATAACATATCCCAACCATAATCAAGGCATCATGCCTCATCATCGACATTATCGTGACCTTTACCAACAAAATACATAACAAAAACAACCAATACAAAACAATGAAGTGAGATACATCTCACTCTGACTCTTTATGTGAAATAACTCTAGGTAGCCATATACATAAACACATATTAAAGGATATTATATCAATTACATAATTATAACCATAATATAATTTAAACAACAACTCACTCGCATATCAGGCACATTCATTCCCATTCACATGTCATACAACAAACACAAATGATATTAAGAATGTAAGCAACATAATATAATTACATGTAATAATAATGTATCACCCAATTCGTAAACATTCACAACTCATGTACTTAATGAATGGTAGTGTTATCTAGATCTATATGCATGTGGAACTATTAAAACTCATGCATAATCCTTGTAAGGACCATAATTTGGTTGAGATTAGACATTAATGATAATAAAAGGTTCAATATGCACTTGACCAAATTAATATGATTTATACTAAATTTTTAACCACTTAATCCAAGAATTTATTGCAACTCGATCGTATAACACAATATATATTTTGTTTCTCTCAATTTTCAATTGGGTGCGGTTTTGTTAATTGCCCTTATATGTAGTTGATACATAATATCTATCAACTTTGCTTGTTGATGAGCCTGATTGATCACTTTCAATGAAATTTTCTCTTTTAGTTATCTTTTTTCTATCATCCGTAAGTTTGACTTTGATTCAAATTCTCTCAAGAATGATTTTAAAAAATTATTCTAAAATAAGCAAATCATAAAATTTTCAAATTGTTGAAAATAATTTTTGATACTTCAAAAGTGTGACACTTGATTTATACAATTTTTTTCCTATTTAAAAAAAAGTTAAGATCAAAATAGGATAAATAATATAATTAAGAATGCCAACTCTTAGAAAAATAAGTAATATATGAACACCAAAAATAACTAGTGGTGATTGGTTACTATGATTATATTTGTTTTTAAATCTAATGAATTTTGATAATATATAGACTTAATTGAAACAAAATTTAAATAGATGAAATGAGTTAATTTACATAGAGATATTTTTTTAAATTTTTTTATAGATATTTAGTCAATAAAATAATTATACAATCAATTAATACTAATGCCATTTTAATTTTTACAAGAGAACCCTAATAACTATAGGCTTAATAAGGCTTATAAAGGAAAAAAGAACAAAAGAAAAGGCTAAAAATATTTTGAAAATTTCTTCTCTAGCAATGGAATAGACATTGATGCTACAATAAGTTATATACAACAACAAATTGATGACATGGATAATGCATCTCTTTTGGCTCCTTTTCAAAAAGAGGAATTTAGGTGTGCATTATTTCAAATGCATAATGACAAATCACTTGGACTTGATGTCTCAATCCCGATTTTTATAAGAATTATTTTTTGGATATTCTCAGTGATGATATTTTTGTTTTTTTAACGCAACAACATGGCTTCACCAAGGCGTGTTTTCCTCTTAATTGAAAAATACTAATATAGTTTAATACCCAAAAAGGATAATCTTATTTTCTTTCTTGAACACGAGGTCTATTTCATTGTGCAATATTTTGTACAAGATCATATCAAAAGTCCTTGATAATAGATTAAAAGGTATTATTTTCAATTGCATTTCTCAACAGCAATCAACTTTTGTGGAAGACTACTCTATTTTAGACAACGTGTTGGTTGCATTGAAATGATCCACCATATGAAATGCAAAGTTAAGAGCAAGATTGGAGATCGAT